GAGAACAAAGTGGCACGTTTTTAGAAGAACAAGTTCGAGCAAAACATGAATTTTAAAAAGCTCAAAAGTTATAAAGCCGCAAATATAACAGACAAATATATGCGTAGCGAGTAGGCTTTCCGTACAGTATGAAAACAAACTGCCGACTGAATCCTAGTTCAACGTATACTGTTAATTAAGTTTCAGAGAGTAAGGAGATTCGTCGAGGAAACGTTGCCGTGGGACGAAGCGACTAGGTTATGGTAGTCGGACCATACCTCGTCTAAAAGCGAAACGTCGTCGACCCTCTGTTGGCTTGTCCATATCAGCGACCACCTAAGTCAGTAAGTCGCAGCTTTCAAATTCTACCTTATAAAAGGCGGTTTAAAATAGTCAAGGACTTAAAGGAAAATATGAGACTAAATTTTCTAAGCGTTACCAAATTTTAACTTACAATTGCACTAGAATCATATTGCCCTCTAGAAAACGGTTCGTAATCGCCCTTTAAGCACTTATGAAAGAATTCTTCAATAAAGCCAGCTTCTGACAATGAATTCTCCTGTTTTAAAAATACATGACCTTCATCTGGATAAAGAACATACGTTACCGGAATTCTGTGCTTTTTCAACTCATCAACAAATCGATCTAAAATATGGAAAAATAGTGAAAAAGTTGTGCTTAGTCAACGTTCTTAATCATTTCTATGTTAGCTAACTGTCTGATAAATGCTAAATTACTGCGGTAGAAAAATAATTAACAGCCATATAATGCTTTAAGCTGTTAACTTACCAGACTCAGACTGTTTTACTCGTGGGTCATTAGCACCTTGAAAAATAATCAGCGGTTTACGAACTTGGTTAGCAAAGAACAATGGAGATCGACTCTTCAGTGACATGATCCCTGCAATTTTTAATCCTTAATTTAGACTGTCCATTGAGAATAGTTCTTATTTGGTGGCGGTACTGTACTATTTTTGCATTAACAAACATTTCAAACGATACCTGATATGTTGTTTATGTCAGCACCAAGCGTGATGGTCATGTCCCTATAAAATCCTTGCCAATATGGAGGAATAGTTTCTAGTAAAGTTACAAGATTGCTTGGCCCAACACTATCTGCTCCGCATGCAAAGACAGACGGTGTGAAAGTCATGCCAACCAATACTGCATAACCTCCGTATGATGCTCCTAAAACCAATGTTTTACAAAAAAAACCGGTAGTAAAGCAGTATTATAAATACCAAAACAGAACTGCCTAATGAAAAAAGTATTTCATTCAGTTGATCTTACCCATAATAGCAACTTCGGAACGGTTTGCAATGCCTTTCGCAACAGCAAATTCAACAGCATCAATCAAGTCGAAATGCATCCTACGACCCCATTCACCATTACCAGCATTCGTATATTTTTTACCAAAACCAGTACTTCCTCGGAAGTTTACCTTAATTAGTATTAATTTGTTACTGAACAGCAGATTTAACGTCAAGTCTCAAAATAGGAGGAAACTGAAATGGAAACTTACTTGAAGGACAGCGTAACCACGATTTGTTAGCCATGCATTGGTTGCTGAAAATCCAAAAATATCGCGTGCTCGTGGTCCTCCATGCACACGGACAATCATTTTCTGTGGTTTCACCGGTAATAACCCAAGATTCGCGTAAACAGCATCATTTGCATTTACTTCTGAAGCTTTACGAAGAGGAACCTAAAATGGAGTAAAAAATTTTTACTTTTTTCCTTCTCAGTTCAATCTTAGTTCTACAAGAAATTAGGAGAAAGGCAATTTAAAAATGATGAAAATAATTTAAAAGCAGAAAAAAGAACGGTACATCTGGTGGAAGGCTTAGGTAGGCCTGGATCTTCATGTTATCGCGAGCCAGGAAATCGAAGCCGACCATTCGATTCAGCTTTTTGCCTTGTAGTTCCGGTCGGGTGCTGAACAAATATTCAGCCTTCTTTTGCCAACGACGATACAAGAAGAATTCATAGGGATGTTGATCAGATGCATACGTAACAAGCCAAGTGCGGAAATCTACAAAGAAGTTTATGCAGTAGAGTTATTTTAAAGCAAACTAGAATATTCAATTATCAGTTTTGCATTGAAGAACTCTTTTCTACAAACCACAGAGCGACATGCTTTACAAATTGATAAACTCATTAAAACCCTCCAAAAATGTACCTCCAGTAATGCCGGCAATAATTGGATGGTCGTTAGGGCGAAGATTCACCAGGTATTGGAAGTCGTCTTGCACAGTTTCATTCGCGATAAATATTTCCGGTTTATGATAAACCTAAAGAATCAGACAGTTTTTGAACTCGTTTATTTTGCTTTTTCATCTACATTTAACCGGGCAACTTACCTCGTCAATTGCAAGAAGTGTTTTGTCTATTGGATGTATGAAAACGTTCTCGATTTGTGCTTTTTTTGCTGTGTAGAGAAGCTGATTTTCCTGTGGTTTACCAAAATCGTGAATAACAAGTGTTCCTATAAAAAAAAGAAAATACAGAGTTAAAAATACGGCGAAGGCAATAGTATGCTGTCGAAAATTGCATTATTTAGTTTTCAGCTCAATAACTATTTTCAAGAACACTATTAAAAAAAGCCTCTTATTGGTGTCATTCTTTTTGAAATAGAAGAAGGTGACTAAAATGAAGTAAGGATCTGCCAACATTTATGGTTTTAAAACCTAAGAAGAAAAAACGTTTTTTGAACCACCAAAAAATCTGTATACTGTTCCTATTTTCTTTTTCAAATAATTCCCCCCCTCTTTTGCCCTGAGAGGAAGAATATGAAGACCTGGAGAGAAGGGGAGAAGAGAAAGTGAGGAAGACGATACAATAGAAGAATAAGTGTTCGGAAATAAAATTTATACTTACCAAGATCACTGTCTTTACCCCATTGCCAATATATACGTTTGTTATCGGGGGTGAAGCCAAGTGGACTAAAACAGAAGAAAATGAAGATAAACTGTTTTGTACAAAAGTAGTTTTTTTTTATCAAAATACAAAACAACTTTACCAATTTCACTTTTACTTACTTTTTTGAATTTTTCAATTTTCGTGGTGCAAAAAAAAATTTTTTAAGCCAATTTGAGTCGCCAAAAAACTACTCTATATTTTTTTTAAGCAGCAAACTTTCCATGACAGTTTAACTGATTGAAAATACAAAAAATAAAAAACAGGAAAAAAGAGAAAATAAAAAATACTA